CGCGGGAACCGGCTGGTCTATGAAACCGAATGCAATGCCGTCGGTTGGGCGCTGGCAGAGCTGAATCCTGCTCTGAGGGGCAAGCGTGGATTGATCCAGCGTGCTGTCGATAGCTGGCGTAACAGCACTCAGGACCCGAGACTGCGCAGCAGACGTGTCCGTCGTATGGCTAAGATTAACCGAAGACAGTCGGTCCCTGCTCAGTCTGCTCATATGGCGCAGCAAGGTCGTTCTTGCACTCGTACTAATGAGAGCCTCTCGGCCGATGAAGTGAACGAACTGGAATGGTTGCACAAGCTTCAATGTAGAGAGGAGAGTGTCTGTCGTGCGGAATCAATTGAAAGCAAAGAAGAGAACTGGGACCATTCTCCCCGGCTCGGTAAGTCATATCCCTTCAAGAGACTATTTGCTATTCAATCTAATTTATTGCAAGACGACGATGGGATTAAGTCTGATTTGTCCGGAGGATCCGATCAGACACGACTTGAAAATTCCAGTCAGCAACCGGCTCCTGATGCTGCCCAGGGTTCATCCTCGTACGTATCTAACGACAAGGCACTAGATTTAACACTGGAAAGTTTAGTGTTGCAATGGACAACCCTCAAACCAGAGGAACTCCAGGTAGAATAGAATGATGAACAGATATAATTAATTCATTGTCATTTGTTTGGCCATCAAGGTTCGGAACGAACTATAAACTTTAGAGTTTGCCTGGGTATTGCTCTGTATATCTGCAGATGTGATATCAAGTATTTCTCTTCTCTAGCAGGCTGGTTTTCTGTAATAAATACTTATCGTTTTACAAGGAAATTTTCCTATCAGCTACTGGAGGTTAGGCTTGTTATAGGCATGGGGGTTTAAATGGTGAGTAGCCGCAGTCTTCATGGCGAGAATCCTACATTTGGCCATTTAACATTTTGGTCTGCCAGTCGTTCAAGCAAGGAATTGCATTGGGCGTTTGCATTATATTCCCCTCACTTCTCCCTTTTATTAGAAACCAAGAGAGCATCCGTACTCGTCGCATCTGTCTATAGGCGTTATCGTTAACGCGGTGACGGGCGAAGAAGTCGAAGTATGAAATGCATTTTGAATGCTTGCACTGTCTATGCAGGTGTTAAGGACTGCCCTTGGAGTCGACTGGGAAATAGTTCATTGAGGAAGGAAGAACAATCTATATTTCGGCATTTCGAAGCACTCTATCAAATAAATATGACTTAACTGAAGACAAAACAAGTGGCTAAATCGCACACAGCTAAGAGAATCAATTTGTATGCATGGCGAGGGCGATTTAACAGACCAGAACGCTGTTGAATGGATGCACAAGGTTCCTACAAGCCTACACCTGTCTGGAGGTAAGCTTTGTTTTCAATATCAAATCGTATCTGCATGATGGTCTTCCTCCAGACGACGATTCTGGTGATACGATGTGTACCTCTAGGGAATGCCGACAGAACAACAGCAGCCGCTCCTTTCCCAAGCTCTGTGCCTAGAATGGCCTTATATTCGGGAGTACCAAAACTCCAGACGACTTGATTTACTGATGCTGGAGATCGCTGGAAATCCTGGGAATTGGGCGGTTGAGTTTTAGCCCAAATTGTCTGTATAAAGTCCCTGGTATCCTCGTTGATAACATTTTCGAGGTAAATGTATCTCAAGCAATTCCGGGCGAAGTGACTATCGTACTGTGCAAGGGCGACTTGACTCCACCAAGGTCCATCGTATCTCTCAACGTTTCTCAGGATGATAACTCCCAATGCGGTCGAGATATGATAGAAGTTAGTTCCCATTCCCCTTTTCGGGTGCCCAGTGAACGAGTTCTTTGAGATCTTGACATCGTTGTAATCTTCAGGACCTACGGGGAGCCCACAATCCTCAAGGTCACTTCGAAGAGCGGGAGGTCTTGAGCCCCAGCGGTTGAAATTTACTGTCCATCTTTGAGACCTGTGTTTAGCATGGGTCAGGCTTCTAAACTCAAATGTTAGTGGCTGCACTGTACAGTTGGGCTCATTTGCATCGTCGATCCATCTTTGTCGCAAGCCTCCCCACATCTCGCGCTCGCCGTACTGATAATCGTTTGGGTTACCGGTTGGGAAGAAACCAGGCTGAGAGGATGCAAAAACGGGATTATTGGGAGGGACGACAGGGCTGGGGACGGGCGAGGCCACCGGAGCAGGGCGGGATATGTGTTGTAGCTCTATAGGATCATCGCCGGTAGGAGGAGGGCCAAAGCCTGGAGATCTGCGGCGGCGACTGCGGCAGATACCGGAACAATTCCAGGGGCAACAACCAGGCATATCTGTAAATATGTTGGATTTGATCGGAATATATAAAACTAGAGTATCGGTTATTGAATGCAGTATTGAGTGTTGTATTGAGTGATGAATGATGAACTTGTACTTGTCTGTATGATACCGAAAGAGGCCGAGGATTATATAGATGCGAGTTAAGTAGGTGGCGCATACTCGACCGTGATTGTCTCTTTCAAGTACATAAAAGGGACACAAAGGGACAAAAAAAGGAACATGGTGCACAAAGAGCCGATAAAAATATCAGCACTCGAACAAGACAGACAATGATAATGGAAGCTGAGATCACGACCCTAAATAGACACCTAAGTGGACAAAGAAGCTAAAGTAGAAGACGTCGAGAACAAGGAGCACAACAAGTGCGACTAGAATAGCATTTACATAGACGACTGTCGACAAAGAGAACATTGTAGACCAGCACAAGAGCCTAGACAAAGCAGCCGACTGCCAGAATACCGATGTCATGATGCCTACGGGACCAAGCCCAAAAGCCAACTGGTTTAGAAACTCGTTATTGGGATGTTTCAGGCTAAATGATACCGGAGAGATCATTAGGCCAGTATATACTCCATTCCAACCAGTTCTGGACCTAGGGCATTGTCGCTGTGACGTCCAGTTGGCTGCAAACTTATCCATACCAAGCCTATGGGTTCTACTATTATTGCCTACAATGTTATATGCTGGTTATGTATTTTCTCTGGATAGGTATCGCCTTCGAGCTAAAAGCAGATCTTGATCCGAACACTAAGACTTCATCTTGAAAGATGTCTAATTGCGGGATACTTCCATTATTCGGATTGTCAAGATTGCTAGCCTATTAAAGAACATGAAAGTACGGATTAGCCAAGACTGACAGTCTCATAAATACAACTTGAGCTAATATACCCCTGAAATTTGACATCGGTGAGGAGTTCTGCAGAGCCATTTCTCCGAGGCTTTCCCTGTCTCACATCTAAGAGGAAAGGGGAAATGACACTGCCAATCATTGTCAATCAGCTGCCCATCTGCATTGACGTATATTTTTCCGTTTATTCCTAGCGTACAGCATAAAAACTTGGTGGCGCATTAGTTGGATTTATGCCACGGAGTGATCAAGTCCTATATAAGCTTCCCCGATCATCTCGGAAACTCTCGTCAACAGCCCACTCTATTAGCTTTAGGATATATCTCACCTTGAACACCAGCCTTGAACAGCCGAGGTATCCTCTTTTCGAAATGAAGACCATCCTCCTAAGCGTTCTCCTGCCGGCATTAGCCAGCGCAGCGGTAACAAGCGGTAAATTCACTGCGCTGAGCTTCAATGTCGCAGGCCTGCCATCACTCTTCCAATCAAACGATGTCAATGGCACAAAAAGCGAAAATGCCAAGCAGCTCGGTACCTACTTCTCGAAGTACGGTTACGATATCATCAATATGCAAGAGGTATCCAGCAAACCTACATAGTCTTCCTAATATATCAATTGACCTAACCACCCTCTAGGACTTCAACTACCATGCCTACATCTATGAAACAGATAACCACGCCTACCGGACCGCTACATCCGGCGGCGCAGCCATTGGAAGTGGTCTGAACACCATCTCCACCCACGACTGGGTAGATTTCACACGCGTGAAATGGAGCAGATGCTCCGATGCATCCGGCTCAGACTGTTTGACCCCGAAGGGCTTTACATTCATGCGCTGGAACCCGGCCGACGGAGTCTATGTCGACTTCTACAACCTCCATGCCGACGCCGGGTGAGTAAAATCTATTCTCAGGTTGTAGTCTATTTAAGCACTGACTCCCGCCAAGCACCGAGGATGAAGACGAAACTGCCCGGAACTCCAACTTGCAGCAAGTCGCAGATTACATCGACACCTGGTCGACTGGTAACGCCGTCGTAGTCATGGGCGATACGAACAGTCGATACACGCGCGCCAAAGACACGGCCATTCGCGTCTTCAAGTCTCAGAATAGCCTCGCAGACCCCTGGGTCGAGCTTGAGAAAGATGGTGTCTACCCCACTACTGGGGCAGATGCCTTGCTATGCGACAACCCGTCTTCCGTTCAGACCTGCGAGACGGTTGATAAAGTGCTGTACCGGGGGTCCAACGTCGCGACGCTCAAGGCAGAGAGCTTTGTCTATGATGGTGGGAAGTTCACGAACACTGACCCCAAGTATTTAGGCGATATACTCTCGGACCACAACCCGATTCTCGTGAACTTCACCTGGTCGCTTTCGGCGTCGCTTCGACAAAGTCAGTTCTCCGGTGGTCCGCATGGGACCTGGTTTAATGATCTGCCGAGTATTCCTTCGTCCCTTGCCGCTTCTGTGATTACTTTCTCTGGTGCGGAGAGGCTGGATGCTGTTGCTTTGGAGTTGAAGGATGGCACATCGTTTAGCCATGGAGGAACTGGTGGTACTAAGGTCTCTCTTACCCTGGACTCTGGGGAGTATTGGACGGAGACCAAGCTCTGTACTGGGCAGTATAATAGCCACACTCGCAACTTTTACATCAAGGCTACTACCAGTACTGGTAAGACGTTGGAGGCGGGCACCTCAACTGATAGTTGCCAGACGTTTACTGCCCCCGATGGCTTTGCGGTTGTGGGTTTCATGGGACAAGCGGAGGACGAGATCGACCAATTGGCTCTGGTATATGCGGCCTATTAAGGGCCAAGGAAAGCGATTACTTGAGATGTGAACTTGAATCTGTAGTGAATACGTATTTGTTCATTTGCCATTTTGGTCAATCGTATCAAGTCATGGTTTATGCAATGCATGTCCCAAACGCCGAGATATTCCGCAGGAATCTTACCCATATGCACCGCGCTGTGTAAATAAGCCAAGAAGAAAAAGCAATTTAATCAACCACATCCTCTGGGAGAACATCATCCGGGTTCTCTCCAACCGCTTGTCCCACCAAGCGCACGACGCGCTTGATTGCCTTGGACGCGGGACTTTCCGGGAAATTATCCACAAAGCTCTCGCCAAAGTCACACGCCATGCCAACGCGGGGATCCAGAGGCACAGCACCTAGGAAAGGAATTCCCATTTTCTTCGCCAGCCGACGACCCCCACCAGTTGTCGCTCGGAATATTTGCGACTCGTGGGTGCATTTAGGACAGACAAATCCAGACATGTTCTCTACCAAGCCCAGTACCTTAATTCCAGCCTTGCGGCAGAAGTCGACCTCCTTGCGAACATCCAGCAATGAGACCTCCTGCGGGGTAGTCACGACAACGGCACCGTCAACGCCAGACTCCTTCAGCAAAGAGTTGACGGACAGATGCTCGTCAGAGGTCCCAGGAGGCGTATCGACAATAAGATAATCCAGCTCGCCCCAGTCGACATCCTTGAGGAACTGCTTGATCAGTCCGTTCTTCTTGGGCCCGCGCCAGATCACCGCATCGTCCCGGTTGGGCAGCATAAACTGCACGCTCATTGCGCCCAGGTTATCTGTTACCCAGACGGGACTCCAGCCGGCGTTGCTGATGTGAATAGTCTCTGACTCCACGCCCATCATCTTGGGGATCGATGGCCCGCAGATATCGGTGTCCATGATGCCGACCGTGGAGTCTGGGTTGGCGGCGAAGGCGTGCGCGAGGAGGGTTGAAAACGTAGATTTGCCGACTCCTCCTTTTCCCGAGAGGACTAGGATTTTGTGCCGTATTTGAGAGAGTCGTTCAGTGATGATCGGGATATCGGGGTCGGGGCCTTTGGGCGCAGTGGCGCAGATCTGTTGGTTTGGGCAACCGGCACAGGCATCGCCTTGGCCAGCTTGCTCAGATTCAGGGCCTGGGCAGTGTTCTGCTGAGAGTTAGTGTATATTTTGTGGCAATGATTCTGCGCATGCGTACCTGGTTCCGGAGCAACAAGGCTGGGCGCCACTTTGGACGACACTGCTAGAGACTCCTCGAACTCCTCCACGTACGGCGCCATGTTAGATTGCTTCTCTGTGTGACAATGGAAATGAGAGCAAGCGACGCAAAATCATAAGATAAATGTTATGCAGCCGCAAGAAACAGATATGTCCGGTGGCGGCCTGATGCTTGATAAGCGGGGATGACTAAAAACCCGCTGCGATTGGCGGGGCAAAGCATATCTGCGGTGTCGGAGCGTATGAAAGTCGAGAGTGAAATACTTCATTTCATATGATCGCTATGCTAGCTGAAGCTATAAATCACAGGGGGATGATTCTATATATCGTGTAGTAAACAGGTAAAGCAGCTGGAGAATAAAGCATGCTTTGAGAACCCAGTACCTATAACAAACCAGCTCACTATCCCTTATGTCCATTTGCCAAGCCAACGAGATCTCCATATTTTAGTGTATTTGTCGTTGCAGTATACTGACTGGCCTCCGGTGAGACAGTCAAGATCATGGCAGAATGAGTATCTGTTGATGCCTCGAAGTGCTCCCGCAGCACCATAGTCAATGGAGAAGAGCGGTATGGGATACGTGATTTCTTGCTCGATCGGGCTCGGATCACTTCTTTCAATGCAAGAAGGTCAGTGTTTATCTGCCTCCCTTCTTGCTTTTCTTGGGGGGTTTGTTTGAGCGCAGGCCCAGTCGTGCTGGAAAGGAATTCAGCGCCGGCCAGATCCACGAACACAAGTTTCCCACCAATGCATCGATGTGTTCGAGTGGTAGTTGCAAACACTTCAGACTCATGCTCCTGTGCTTCTTTCACGCGATATTCGAATTCGGCTTTTTTTGCTTCTGCGGCATCCACGCGTGCTTGGTCCAATTGATAATCAGGATTTGGAACGTATTTCCCCTCTTCGGTCTGGACGACCGCGCGAGATTGTTCTTCGATATAGACATCAGTTGCATATTTTCCCACAGGAACAAGCTCAGATTGCCGCTCAACCACCTGATCACGCGCATCGAGAAGATCCTTGGTGATGATTTCCAGTTCGATCACGGCATGCGTGCGCGAGCTTTGATCGTGCACTGTCGATGTCGCAGTCTTGCGATGTTTCAAGCCTTGTTGTAGCTCCTGGTGCAGCTCTTCGAAGCTCCAACATGCCTTCGTAGCGATTGGCCGGACTCTCACTCTTCCATTTTCCAGCATTTCCGTTTCGCCACGGATGTAGACCCGGCCATCGGATCCCTCGCGGACAAAGCACTCATTCCGCTCATTGAGGAGATCGAAAGCGATATTCTTCCGTAATTCAAACACACGGAGCCCAATGCCGAATTGATGGTCGCTGTCCTTCGAATTGATATCTTCTAGCGCAGCGCTCAGTTGACGTGCAGCAGCTAAACAAAGCCCGAACTCATCGGCGTTCTCAAAATCGTAGCCAATCATAGTATGGGATTTGCCGCTGCCTGAGTGGCCGTACGCAAAGAAATTGCAAGACTTGCCCTCTAGAACTTCTGGAATGATCGGTGCAACGACGCGGTTGAATACCAAGTAGTTGTTATCATTACATTCAATGATCCCATCAAATGAAAATCCACTCTTCCAGGATTTTTCTCTGGTCGAAAGTGCTTTAGCTTGCAACGGTGCAGTGATAGAGACGCACGATTGTGGATTGTTGTGATGCTGGCCATATTCCCGCTGGATTCCTCCCGTTTCGGCCTCACTCGGGTTGAGAGGTCGCCATCTCATCCATACTTTAAACACATTCATCTTCCTTACGCGTGAGTGGCCTGGTGACTAGAGGAGAAGAAACACGAGCGCACAGGATTCAGGCGCATCGCGCCGCTGGCGTATGTAAGAATAAGGCAGCACCTCCAGGGCTGGCAATGGCGCCGGATCCTTCAGGATCCTTCAGGATCCTGAAGGGCTGGAACCTTCGGCGAGGCGAGACATCCCCAAGAATAGTATGCCACAGTATAGGCTGGGCTTGAGGCCGCTGATGTTGCGAGTTACGTGAGTTTCATGTGATAGATGACATTGAGACGGAACCCACAAAGCCGAAATAGACGTTCAAATCCCGAACGACGTGCCTGTCACTAGTTTATAGCTCCATCCAGGCCGAGGTGGGTTCTACGTACTTTGTACATTTTAGATGACTACGGAAGTCCTACCCGTGGACATATGAAAACTACTCGACGATAAATAGCCTCACGGGGTGAAAAGAATCCCGGCGCTGTCAGCACTTAGCCAGGGGGCCAGAGTCTTGGTCTAGCGCCTCTATTGCAGCAGGAGGGACGTGGCCCAGTAGAACAGCCCGAAAGGCTGCATCCCGCATGCTGCTATGACAGGAAGCGGGGGTCCTGTGCTGCAGCTTACATTGGATCATCCTTCGTTGCATAACTACCGCGTAGTAAATACAACCCAGTGGGATAGAAAGTGCAGAATTATGAGTATCCATTATCAATATTGAACGCATTGACATCAACGGTGCCTATACATCAGGACAAGGAGTTTCAATTCTAGCCCTGGTGAATCACCAAGGATTTGGATTGGATGATGTCGAGTACTCCACTGGCTCGTGGACCATCCCATTCGCCCATGGAACATGCAGACTCGATCACAATGCATTTTATAGACGGGGCTCGAGCTCAAAGGGAGATGCGCATATCAATCTATGCAGACGGTAAGTGTACACGGTATGTGCTATTGGAGCGCACATTCTAGGTACACAGACTGCCGCACTTGCCGCATTGCACGATACCCCGCTGTCGATCGGCGTTGTATACATACGGGGAAGAGAAGAATGGATAGACAGGAGATGTGGGTGTCCAAAAGCCAATTCAAAATAGAATTAGATGAGGTCTTTCCCAACAACTGTCGCGAAGAAGACTAAAACCACTTAGCGTTGGTTATCAAAGGCCCCATTTCTTTCCCCTTCCGCTCCATTCGGAGGCCCGCATCTCTTGAGAGACTTCACGAGTCTCAACGGGTTCCACTCTTTGTCGTAATTGATATAAATAATAATTGGTCTCCTCGATAGAGATTCCTCTCTTTGTCTTTCTGAAAAGAAAAAAGATCGAGACCTCCCATTGTTAGGACTAAAACCCTAACAAAATAGGACCCTGTTTCCGTTTCTACTGACTAAGCATAGTTCCGCTTTTTCCAGTATCACATGCTTCTGTCGTCACATTCTGTCTCAACAGTTTCCTCTCTCTCAACACCCTTGTAAAGTGGCACACCATGGATCAAGGCCTTTCAACAGGGACCCATCAAGATGTTGATGGCCTACGTGAGAGAAATACACGCGTCGATTCAACAGTCGGTCGCGAGGCTTTAACAGCCGTGGGGGAGGGGGGAATCAAAGATAAAGATGGCAAAGCATCGAAGACCTTTGGGAGGACTCCCGATGGAACAGGTAAGCTTGCTGTCTATTGATTTGTTTGCAATTGAATACAGGATTTATCTGGATACACCCAACCCTCCCTTCGTGTTTTGTCGAGAGCCCGCTAATAACCGGGTCCGACGTATTATAGTGTTTACGGTCCCTCAGACTCATGACATGGTCTCCCAGTTGCTTCTGCCATCCGAGCCAAAGAATTTTGGTGATCTTGTGGTGTTGATTCTATTGGCGGGTCATATTCTGTTTCTCTGGGTACTCCCCGCGGGTGCCAAAATCCCCGTCTTTGCAGTCACCTACCTGTTCTGGCGCATGGCTTACAATGCAGGAATTGGGTGGCTGCTTCACAATCAGTCGCACCACAAGACACTAATTCGATGGGCGGAGAAGACGAAGATCTTTGTCAAC